CGTTATTTGATAAACATGTTCGCTCAACTACAATTATCGATGGTGTTGATCTCATTCGACGACTTCAAGCATACGCTGCAAATGGATATTTGAAGCCAACAACCTATTTGTGCACATTTGATATCACAGATTTTTATACAATGTTACCACAGGAAGAATCTCTTGATATTCTAACTGAATTTCTTCTAGAACATGGATATGCCAAAGTGAATTCAGTGCCCATTGACGCCATTCGGAAATTAGCTCGTCTCGTTCTCACAGAAAATGTATTCACTTATGAGAAAAGGTTCTATCGTCAAGTGATCGACGGTGCTATGGGCTCCGCATTTACTTTGATTTTAGCCAATGTTTTCTTATGGAAATGGGAAAAACCATCACTTCAACAGCTGTTAGATACAAACGAAATCTATGGAAGGCATGTTCAGTAGCTTAGGAAAAGCGCTATTGTCTCAATGTCCCCTATTTATCTTTAATAGGTATATCAATGATATCTTCTTTACTTCGAATCAACCACTGAACAAAATCAATGAAATGTTAGATAACGCCAACGATTTCCATCCAAATATCAAATTAGTTCGGCAAATTGGTAAGAATGTACCATTCTTAGATGTGCTTATTGAAAACATCTGTGTATCACAAAGAAGCAGCCGAACCATACACAGTACCATTTAATTCTGGTCATCCTCGTCGTACCTTCAGAAATGCCATTGACACAGCACTTTTGCGTGCTGTACGCTATTCATCGACACTATCAACTTTTCAAAAAGAACAACGTACAATCAAACTAATGCTTCTTTACATGAAGTAATTCGATCTATTTCTATATGTTCACAATCCGGTTTATCCGATATCTTCTAGCTATGCACCACGGTTTATGTATAGCAGATTCCACAATTTCATCGCCATTTATGTCAAAACTTCAAACATCCAACCATTCATACATGATGAAAATCAGTTCAGAGCGATCCGACAGAAAACGCTCAACATTCCAACTATTCCAGATTATCGAATGGCGTCCAGAATCGAAAGAGATAAAGCTACTCCTGATGATGAATCACTGGAAACTGGGGTACCCAAAACGAACTCAACAAAATCTTCGAAATGGGACAATCAACTCATAATTCATTACACTCATGAGCAACGGTTCCAAAACTGCAAACGCGATCAACACCAATCATTCACACAAGACTAATCGTTGGCAGCAGAAACAATAATGACAATCCGTCGAGACATTAACTCAACGCCAGACCTACATTTCAAGCATCGTAGACTTTTCTGTACATACTATTTCTAATAAACTGCTCATTTCAGCATGAACTTTTACACATATCTCAAACATTGACATACAAACCACATCTAGAACAAATCGTACATTCAGAACTTCACCTATAACAAATTACAAGACATTACATAGCATTTCTGACTATCCTACATACACACATCGCACAGAGAAACTGACGATGTTCGATACAAAGTCGAAACTACCTGATGAGATTACTGAGCCTAGTCGAAGCGCGTCGTAGAATGCTTGACTCGCCCACCCTCCAGATACTTGATTTTTTCCAACTTGGAGAATATTTTTATCAAACTCAATCATACGTCAATTTATTTTTGACGTTTGTTTATTTTGTATGAAATACGTACATATTTTTCGACGAAATAATATCCCACTTATTACACCTGTCTAAGGAACATGGTGACATGTTATTTTATTCAGTGACTTCGATAGTGATTCAATGAAAATATTTATGTATGATCATGTGTCTGAAATAAAACAATATATTATTTTATGGATTGTTTGAAGTCGAAAGAGCTTTTGAGTATGAATGGAATACGTTTATTTGAAATCTTCGACAACGATTAATGGTTCGAAAAACTACAAACTTGTCGAAACGGATTTAGTTAGAGTGGATGAGAAATTGAAAACTTCGAGATTGCTTGCTATGAGCATAATTTTTGTGCGTGATAGAGACGTTAATGTATCAGAACACTGTTTCGTAGAGAATTCGACTTTTATGGATACGGATTAAGTGTAAAAAAAAATTGTGATGACTGAGGAATAGTTTATTCAAAACAGAGAAATCTGGACATACAGTGAAAAGTATATCTATTCGTATATGAAGACACATTGTTCTTAATTAATGAAAAACTTAATTTTAGATTTAATTGCTTTCGAGTCTTATAACTTGCTTTGTTATTCTTCTATCCACCGTCATACGCATATATTGTGCGACATAAATCTTCAAATCATCTCGTTGATTAAAATTCATATTATTGCTCAGAAAAGGAAGGTTTTAAAACTTGCGAACTTTTATTGAGATTAAATGAAAAATGTTAGGTGAAGAAAAAAAAAGGGAAAGAGCTTAAAAAGGAAATACAAGGAGAGGATAGTGAAAATGTTATTTGAGGCAGAAATCGTTTGTGAAGATTAAAGGCTGTATCGCTAACATCTTGATCACTAAAACAGAAAATTCAAAATGAAAACGATTTGTTTGAAGAATTATAAAAACTGAATCGCGCTTATTTGGCTACACACAAGCCACCACCAAAGAATTTCGCAGCTACTTCTTCTGGGAGGTTGGGACAAATCACTTTTTGAAAAGTCTTCGTTTCAAAAGTGAATTTGTCTTGACATTGATCAGCTAAGTATTTCGCATCTTTCGTTTCTGCCATGATGGGACAAATTTCTTTGATAATGAGCTGTGTAGGCACAGCGATATACTTAGGCAGATCACGCGCATTCATGTTTTCAGATAATAAGTCTCGAAGGTTGAGCTGCATATAATTCATGCTTTCGCCGATATTGGTTTTTTTATATGCATTCGCCATCATGATTGTGGCACCAAGTATAATAGCAACGAAGAGAATACTAACTGCTTTGCAATCCATATCGTGTGTTGGTTTGTTCGAAAATTGGCGAGTGTAATCGAAGCTTGTTGGTTTTCGTAGTGAGTGTCAGAGTATTTATACTGCAATTCGAAATATTTTTCTTTTTCGAGATGATTCATGTGCATCAAAAAATAAAGGACTCTCTCATTCAGAAAGTGGTACGGCTTTGGCCTTGAAAAACAAAAGAGCGAGAGTGACTATTGCATTCAGGGTTGGATGGTTACGATAAAGAGAGGAGAGTAATTTGGGGCTACCCATGATAATAAAATTAAGAAATAGAGAAAAAAAATATCGAAGAAGATTATAGAGGAGGCGAATCTTTTGAGTTATGAAAAAGCCAAAATGAAAAAATGCTTCGTCATTTTCTGCTTCAGAGAGGTCTTACTACCCGTTTTCAATATTTAACGGATTTTATTCAGAATCATTGGGATAATATCATGTGCATTCTCGCTTTTCGGCCATATGTTATTATATCTTCTGCTATAGAATGATCATTTCGGAGCACTAAGTCTCTAGCGACAATTATGTTCAACAACAACAACCACAAATTATCTGAAAAAATCATTTCCGAATGTCCTCAAACAATCTTTTGATATTATTAGCAACTTTCATTCATACGTTCTTCGATGACACCTCTATAACCAGAAATTCTTTGCTACAATCTTTCTCTTTCCGTTTGAAAATTTTCGTCGCATAATATTTTTATTTTATTTCACACACATGATCATACATAAATATTTTCATTGAATCACTATCGAAGTCACTGAATAAAATAACATGTCACCATGTTCCTTAGACAGGTGTAATAAGTGGGATATTATTTCGTCGAAAAATATGTACGTATTTCATACAAAATAAACAAACGTCAAAAATAAATTGACGTATGATTGAGTTTGATAAAAATATTCTCCAAGTTGGAAAAAATCAAGTATCGATAAATACAAGGAGAAAATTAAACCGAATATAAACGAAAGAACGAAAAAACGAATTACTGAAGTATGACCGTAAGGAGTCTCATTAGTAGAAAAAGTGATGTGCGCTGCAGAAACACGTTGTGTTAAACATATACAACAGTGTGAATGCATTGAAATAGACATATATGATAATATTCTGCCATGTATTCCATACAGATTTTGATGATAATAATTCATTTCATTTCAACGTATTGTAGTACATTTTCAGTATTCATCTCATAATTGTTTCAGTATCCAATTATTCTTGGTCGAAAACTATTTGATTTATTATTTTCTTCTGAGAATCAGCAAGAAAAAAAGCTAAATATGATTGAAAAGATCCGTATTTCTAATTGCTGAGAATAATCTTCATCGATAAAAGCTGTATGTGTTACTTTATAGCATTTATATATTCGTAATCACTATTCAATACCCTTTAATCATCTGAAGTAGGGGTGTTACTCCATTCATATTTTTGAAGAATAAAAATAAAGAATATCTTTTCTTTAATTTATAAATTAATGATAAATATATTGAATATTTTATCTTTTTGAGCAAATATCTTTTGTCTTTATTTGTTCCGATTTATCATTCTACAACATATAAACGTGTCATGTTACTATTTGCTAATGGGAAAGAACGAATCAGTTATTTCTCTTCTTCTTCCAATCAAATCATTGAATATCAATTTATTTTATCCAAAGTATTCGACTTCATTTTCTCACAATCAAACAGATTGTTGAGCGTGACTTTCAAATGGTGAAATGTGGAGGAATTTATACTCGTTATTCAAAGAACGTATAACTATGCCTAAGACTGCCGCTCTTTCCTTTTTAGTCTGGATCTCGCTTTCACCCACGCTCACACTATAAGATGATGAAATTTTATTCATCGATTAATTCATTTTACAATAATGAAACGAATAAATTTAACCTACTAGTGCAGAAAGTTTTTTTCTTTCAAAATAAAATTTTGAAGCTTCTCTTTGAGTGTTTTCTCACTTTTAAATTTCAATCTATTCTTTGAAAAGAAATTTTTTAAAAATTATAGAATAATATTATCTTGAGTTTAATTTTTTTTTCTTTCTCTCAGGTTTCATTCGTATAAAACTGTTTACACAAAAGAATATTTCATTACATAGGAATATAATGAAATCTTACCAAAGAGAGACTATAAAATAGAAGCAAAACAAAACATTACACGGTCTATTCGTTTTGTACGCATCACACATAATTGTTCTCTTATAAAAAATAGTCTGAAAAAGTCCGTAAAAGATGATTTCTATATAAAATATAGTTTTTACATTTTACCTTTATATTAAGTGGGCAAATTCTATGATTTTACGTTGCCAACACTATTAAATATTTTAAAAAAATATACATAGTCGCGTGCTTTTTTCATATAGACTTTTGTACTCAACATACAAAAATCCACACTATAAAAGTAGTGTGTAAATGACGACTGCTTTTCAGTTATTATTATGAAAGAATACAAAATGAATCTCACAAATCTATTTGTTCTTTTCACATTAAATATTTGTTTAGTATTTGCTTCGCATTTTTGTGGTGAAACAATTACATGGTGAGTTGATATAATAAGAATTGTACTTTGATCAAATTTTATATTTTTATTTTATAGGAGACCTTTGAATGCAACTCCCTCTGATTTTACAGCAGATTTTCTTGTACGTGAACGATATTCATGACGTCTTACTTACTCATCTGGTACATTTTGTAATGATGCAACTATTGCAAGCAGTGGTTTAATTAGTGATGCAAATTCAGTTCAATGTACTGCTGGTACTTGTGCCGCTTGGACTCCTTTATAAAGTACAACAGCATATTGAACAGATTATGCTAATACTCTTGATGTTAGTTCAGGTGAACGAAAACGAGTCTATACATTCCCATTAACTATTTCCTTTACTATTTATTATGCTTCAAATGCTTGGCTTAATGAATTGGTTACAGGAGGTGGTCAACCATGGTATGTTGCAAATCGTGTTATTACTAATATTCGACCAGATGGTTTTATTAATACAAGTCCTACTGCTGTTACACTTCCAATAATTTATAAACAAATTAATATTCAACATGTTGATGTTGTTCAAATGTCTGATGTTGATGGTTCGAATATATTAAAATGTCGATAGGCAACTTCAACTGCAAAGATAAATCTATATAATGAATGTGGCGGAATGTGTAGTAGTGTTTCAGGTGCTAATCCAATTCGAGACAATCGTACAATTGTATTTACTTTAACAGTTGCTAATCGATATGCGGGAGTTGCATTACAAATTGAAGATTTTTTAAAATTCTACAGCAACAATACCAATGAGTTCAGTTCCACTTCAATTTCTTTTCTATGGTTATCCAGCACCTACTGGTTGTAGTACTCCATCACAAATCATTGGTAATCGACCCAATCGTGGTAAGTTTTAAATTATCGATATTTTTTTATCTAACTCATTTTTCTTAGCTTGTATTGGTACATCTGTTGGTTCCGATGTAACTGAATATGTTATTGTTGAAACATATTGCCCAGGGCAAACAATTGTGAATTTTATTACAAGTACACCAATTGGAATTAAAGAAAAAGTGCAATTCTTAATCCAAGTCCTGGTTAGTTTTGATTGTATTATTTAACCAATAAATAAATATCAATAATTTTTTTAAAAAGTATTTATCATTTAATTCTCAGTTGGAGCCCACACAGTACTCAATATGGTCCTGAACCGTTTTGTGCTGGTGCAATTGACAGTGGAAACTTACAATTGAATCAATGGTGTATTATCTTTTTAGTTGGTTTTGAATCACCCGATATTATTCGACCAACCAATGTTCAAGGTTCAGTTTCTCCAATTGGAATTGTTTTTCAAAATCAAACATTTTTTTCATTTCAAAGTATAAAATGATTGTTTACTCTCAAGATAATAGAATGAAAATTTAATTTTGTTTGTTTTGTGGAACTTTCATTTATCTTTTGAAGAAAAAACAAGTGAGTGTAAGTTCTAAGTCGAAGAAACTATGGACCCTACCCCCTCTCCCATATGCATTTTTTTTCATGTATATCACAAGTAACGTTCACCGTGCCGACTCACTTCACCCTCGACTGTGGAACACAGATACTTTCTGCGTGTGCTATTAGTGGGACAAATCGATCTAGCAACTTGATATACGATGAAATGAGTAAAATATTTGTGTGTCACTATTTATTAACTTTCGAAAGCAAAATAGCTAATTTTTTGTAAAATTGGTATGAGCAGAAAACGTATTTTTTGTTGAGAGCTCATAACATTATGTCATAAATACTAGCAGCCACGAGCAAAATTTGGCGAAACAGAAAAAGATTAGACGAAAGTATCTACCGAAGGATGCAATCATGTATCACAAAAGCATGCAATAATATGTCCCAAAGGACGAACGTCTAGAGAGAGATACACCAACATTACTACGGGGCGCATCTTTAACAAAACGGTACACTTTTATTTATTCTCCTATTAAATTATACTGTAACCAACACAAAACGCCGAATGAGGACAAATCCAAAACGATAAGCACTAATATTACGCGATTCAACGGACTACGAAACCATCCACCTGAGTGCTCCTCAAAGCACGACACAAATCACCGCAATCATAAAAACCACCACAAATGCTATTCAAGCACGTTGTTGAAGTTAGCACCATATTCGAGTAAAAGCTTTCTATATTTGTTTAGGAATACGTTCCAGTTGTTCCAATCAGCGTTTCAAGTAGAACTCAACGAGCTCTATCTAGTGGTTTGCTCAGTTTTTCTATAACTCGAGTTTTCATTCTTAGGCTACCAGTAACGGCGGTACTGATCCGAAATTCCAAAGTTGGGACTTGGTCGCAACTGAGCATACCACTAGATACAGCTCGCCGAGTTCTACTTAAAACACGGATTGGAACACATCCCTCAACAAATATGGAAAGCTTTTATTCGAATATAGTGCTAACTTCACCGACGACATTCAAGTTACGCAACACCATACTATTGACTCTCCACCGTTCAATGACCTTCCTGTCATACCACTCTATTAAATATCCATCAAGCGCTTCACCATAGCCTGGCACCTTCGCCGGTCATGCGCCACCTTGGGCCAGCATTCCCCGCCTTCGCCGATCAGGCGCCACCTTTGGCCACCTTCACCCACCTTGGCCCACCGTCGCCCACGCTTTGCCACAAACAAACTATTTTATTTCATATGACCCTCCTTACAGTCGAGGGAATAAAATTCAGCACGCATCTGAATAAATAAAAATGCGCGTTCTTTTTCTTTCGTTCGCGGCTTCCGTCCATTGCTCGACTTTATCGTAATGAACACATTCAAAAACATACAACCTACTTATATTGTTCAATTTCAATTCATGTATTTCTCTCATTTGAATCAAATAGTTAAGATTGACAATTCAAATTTGTACACTTTCAATCATCAATATACGAACGTACATGATATTTTGTTGTATATAACAGTTTCTCCACTTATTAAATACCTACTCACAGCGAAAGAACAGATAAACAAATACAAGAAAAATCATCAATGCTATCTACACACCTTTCGACAGTTGAAAACACTCTTTAATAACTAAACTCGAACTTCTTAGTGTGACATCAGTGAACAATTAAGTAAAAGATAATATCCACATACAAAGAAAAAAAACATATTCGTAACAATAACTAGAAACTATGAATTCACACTAACCAATCTATAAATTAAAACATCATTCAATATTTTTTCATTTATTTTTCAATATCTGAACATTTAAAACAAAAATTTATTTTTTCTTCTATTTTGAAAGTTATTTCATCCGCGTCCGATATTGGAAATGGATCAATTAATGATGAAATCATATCAGAACTAATAGTTTCCATTTGTAAAATACTGAGCGAAATAGGCATGTAAATAAAAGCACCATGTTCATGTAAATAGGTAATATATTGTTGAATTTCACTCCGTTTAATTGTTTCATGTCGACCAAATTTCAAAGAATCAATAATAAAAAAATAATCTGGTGTAGCATCAAATCTTCTCAAGCAAAAATAATGATCGTCTTTATAAATAAATCAACCTTGAATATATTGAATATTATTCGTGATTTGTTCATATACAAACGATGAAATTTTATTTGCACTATTCCATTGTATACGCTCTATATAATACTGTGTTAAAAGAGCTTCTCGTATAATTTGTATATGATAATATCCAGTATATGTACTAAAAAATTGATCATGTGCTTTATGGATATCATTTCGAATCATGAACTCATCTGTTGCTAATTGTTGTCCTGAACTTTGTGAAAAAAATATCATCGAATACAGTAATATTCTGTACAAGTGTTCGAAGAGCATGCCGATCACAAAAAAATCTTTTTTGTTTTTTACAAAGAATAAAATTTTCCGGCATATAATCAATATTCGAATGACCATGAATAATATCAATGTCAAAGTTCGTTGTTATTTTAGCTCTTTTATTTTTTTGAATATTATAATCTACATCAAACTTTCTTTTTTCAGTCGTACAAACTGTATCGATCGAATAGTCTTCTTTCAAATTCATATCATTTACCTATATGAATAGAACAGTATATGCTGGGTACGAATTTGATTTCTCTTACTACATCATTTAAATAATCATAAATTTTGATAGGGTTTTCTTTTTCTTTTCTTTCTAACCGTTCAGTTTCGTTTAAACCCTCGTTGGAAATGTGATAGAATTGAACATTTTTAATTAAAATATGAATAGCACATAAATTACTTTAAAATATTTTCGATCATATGCCAAAATGATGATGTCCGTTATGCGTCGCGTTCTACTTAGAACTGTATAAAATATTCCAGCTTTCCAATATTTCCCTGCCAAATCAACGACCGCATTTTCTAATTCTTAATAAGAATTCATATTAAAAAGTTCGTAAAAATGTAAACATCAACATTATCACCGACGACAGCATATTTCGGTATCTTTGTATGTATGACATTGTTTAATGAAGAAAACACATCAGCGATGATCATGGGCGGTGACAGAAAATTTTTCGGATCTTCCCATCCTATCTCTTTAACGAAAGCATCCGTCCCATTGATAGTATAGTTATCTTGATCAATATTTTGTCTAATAAAAATTCGTGCACCAACACATATTGGAAAACGAGCATATAAAGAACCACATTTGTTTTCATCAGTTGATGATTTCAATTTTACTTTGCGGTTACTGTTACTTGCATTGATTCTTTTGTAAAATGAACTATCAATCATTGCAACTTTCTATAAAACAATTCATTATTGGATTCATTGAATAACTAAAATAAAAACATATTATTACATCCACAGCATCTATCATGAAAACTGTTTGTTTTGTGTCTCTGATATGTTCTTTTAATTTTTCTAGGTTTCTACAGTTTGCTAATTGAAGAGTACCATAAGCATGTATAGCATCTTTCAATCGCTCTTTATAAGTATACAGTTTAACAAAATTGCACATGAAACGAATCTACATTTGGTTTCATCAAATATTAGCTTATCAGAGTTAATCGATCGATTTAATAAGCGAACAGCTGGCGGTCACTTAATATATCTTGGATATGAATCAGACAGAAACAAAGCAGAACTTTGTGTTTATTATGCCGGTTCGCATTACGGTGCTCGTTTACCTTTTCAACATAATCCTCCTCAGCTTGTATCAGGTTATGACATAATAAACATTCGTTTATTCCCTTTTCTGAAAGAAAGGGTTATACAGCGTTTAAATGCTGTGTTAAAAAGCTTAAAGTCTGTCTGTCAGTCTGTCCTATCCAATCAGAAATCAGCATTTCTAAAATCAATGAAATTGATCGATCGTAGTTAGAAAATGATTACCGGTAGGGTAATCGAGGTCGAGGATCTCGAATCCGAGGTTAGTTTCTCGAAATTCTAATTAGCTCATTAGCTAATTAGCTAATTAAGCGATGAAAATTTTCTTCGTTATCGAGTAAGGGTCGACCGAAGGGTAATCGGGGTCGAGGATCTCGAATCCGACGTTAGTGTCGCTTAATTAATTATTAATTTTTCATTAACTAGCCACGACTTAATAACATCCACTGTCAGAGTAGACCGAAGGATTTCTGACGTCGGGAAATTTGAATTTGAGGGTGAATTTCGTCTTATTCNTGCTGGAGAATTATCCACTGAGAAATGGCTAATGGGTCTGATTCCTAAAAAGACTTTTGCATCCTATTCATTCTAGTATGTAGCATACTGCCACGATTCAGTTGAGCACTAGTAGCAGTCGCAGTGCATTTTTGCTCTATCGAAGTCTCTGAATGTGTTCAGCATTCGGAAAAGTCTTTCAGAAAAGGGTCAGCGAATCCAAAGGATGAGCGTTACTTGTAACATATATAGAAAAAATACTTTTTCTTCATACAAGTAGTTAAACATGTGGAACTAACTCTTCGCCACGTCCTATGGGACAAGAGGAGGGCATCCGCAGGGCCTAGGAGGCAGCTCCTTAGTGTGCTTAAGGATGATTTATTCTAGATAAATTCATCAAAACTAATTTGTCATCGTCTTTACTTTTTAGAGTATACATAACACTCGGATTTCAATCCGAGGTTTTCCGCATTTATTTATTCCTAAAGCTTTATTCACCCACACCCTCAACGTTCCGTGCGAAACTTTGATAACATTCTCGCGTAACAGCATATATCTCTCCTTCATCATTAGTATACTTTGTATATTCGAAACGGTACAAAGGAATCTCTTCCTCTTCCATCATTGATTCAAGATCTCCATCGAAACCAATGGGTAGTAAAAGATCAAAACCTCGATCGTAATATTTGCCTATACGCGTGCAGAGATGCTTTGGACTTTCAGGGTGGAGCGTGTAGGCCATAAATGATTGTGTTGCGAGTGCTTGTAGACATGGAAATGTCGATACTATTTTGTCTCCTACATAAATTATAGGTATATATGAGAGCTGGAACTTGCTCGAAATAGACAAAAAAAAAACTACCAGTAAATGCCACTTGCGAAATATATATGTTAAAATTGTAAAGAGTATATGAAATGGGTTGTTTCGAATTTCATATACATAGGTCTTATGGAAAAGTTAAGTCTCACATGGCAAGGCAAAAACACGTTGTAGCAGAATGATCTGGGGACTTCTTCTACTCTTATCGTGTCGGTTGTACTTTGCGAAATTTTGTGCTTTATACGATCAATGGTACTCTGCATTGTTGCGTGAAAATCACATAGATTGTTTATGTAATAGATTAAGTTGATATCCTGGTCTTTAGTGTCGAGAAATGGCAATTTATACAAAGAGTTTAGGACGCATCCACCAGCGATGATAAACTTAGAAAAATCAATTGCTTCTAACCATAGAACTGATGAGAAATGAACTGCCATATTCATTTTAAATTCATCTATAGTGCGCACAAATGTCATATTCTTCTGCTCACTTCGATCTTCCACTGTAGAAAACGTTGTTTGAACTAAATTTAATAATGTGTATACATTCTACACGTTGCATTTTTCATTCCCTTTGAAATATTTTACCTCGAAATAATTTTTTTTCGTGATCGTTCAGTGGTCTTTTCAGACCTATTGTTTGAATAAACCACTCGTACTCAAGAAGGCCGAAATCTGCATTGTAGTAGGCAGTATTTAGTGGTAAAAGACGACAATAACATTGAAAAAGAGAAGATCTATATGCTTCAGACAATTTCGAAAATCCTTCTAGACCAAAACATGCATGAATGTACAAACGCTCTGATGGTTGAGTAAAAAGTGAATAACGTGTGGGAACTACACAAAGACGCTCTTCGTCAATTTCGCAGTTATTTCTGTAATAGTCCCATAGAGTACGCGATAGCATGATTCTCTGCCGATTGCTGAACGTTTTGATTAACCCGATAAAATGATGATCGAGTGGTTTAGCAACTGATCCGAATAGTTCACTACCGTCTACTGCTTCAGTAAAGTTAATTGTGTCTAGTCCATGGAGAAATTTCAATAAATGACATCCAACAACTTCATCGCATCGGACGATTGAATTTTTGGACATTGTGAGTCAGCACTCAATCAATTTAAAGCTTGAATAAATGATACATCTATCTAGAAATGTCTGAGAAGATACATTCCTTATCAAATCAATCGATAATAACGCATTTGTTTAATCAATTGTTATGATGCTTCTTTATGTTACTTTCCTACTCTTCTTTGATGCGATCCGTTTTTATTTGTTTCAGTTTATCTTTTCGATTGTCTTTTCTTTCAATTCTTACAGAGAATGAATCACAGTTCAGCAGGTTATCCGTTCAAAGAATTGAATAAAGCATATACTATGCGAACACAGGTTTCAGTAAGACTAAAGGTGAAATTATTCTGAAATAATTCAAATCTATACCTGAAAAGGAATATCACCATCAATTTAAGAATTGAATGGCTTCCAATAACGCATTTTAATCGCTAAGTAGTAACTATTCACTTTTTTCTGTTCGTTGTGCCGGATAAATTTTAATCGTCGACCAATTTTACCAACACTAGAAGTTGTATAATGTTCTGCTTTCAAATAACTAATTTAATCGATTTATTATTTCATCTTTTTAGATACATTTTCAGACAGCACAAATATTGAACATAAACTAGGTTGCTACACTACTTTTTCTCCTGTACAAATGTAACATACATTATCTAATATTTTTAGTACACATTTGCACGTATTATTTACACAAAAAAAACAAGTCAATACATATTTTTACGTACAATGTACTTCGTTTGCTATCTACATGTAGAACATATCATCTTTTAAGTATTCGACAAGTTGACCAATATCGTCACAGCACGTGTTCAAAAGATTATCAAAAAACATATCTTGGGCTTGGGAGAAGGGTAGATCTCTTCTTTCTCCACTAGTTGATTCGGTAAACGAAATGGGTGAGTAAATATTAGGCCAGTGAGCGAATTTGTCCTGAAAATTGCGTTCATCGACGTCAAAATCCATCTTAAATTCTTCCTGTTGGATATTTCCCACGAGTTCGGGAACATCAGATAATTCTTCTTTGACGAAAATAACATCGTCATTTACGGCTGGTTGTTTTTCTTCAATGAAAATGACATCATCAGTGATATCTTGGCTTTCTTCTTCGTCTTTAGAATTGGACTGATCATGTCGGCCACAATGCACACACGCAGTATTCAAATGATTTATGGGTTGTGCTTGTGGAACGGAAATCTGTATTACAATCATTGGAATAGGCACAAGTATAGAGACTGGCACATTCATCTACAATTAAAATGTATTGGTGAATGAGAAACTATTTGAATAACAATACTTGGTGATCATTGTTAAATGTTGTTGTTGTTGTCATCGTGAAAGTCGAATTTGAATGATGAAATGAAGGCGATGAAAAGTTTCGATAGCTGTTTGAAACTGACTTAACAGGGTAGTGTCGTACGTTGAGATGATGCGCGAGAATTTGTTGAATGTAGTGTTGAACGCTGTAGACAGTCTCCTTTTATACTCTAAGATGAGCGATGACTCATGATTAATCATGATGAATCATGACTTTCAACTACTATTGAGTAACTCATATGTTCCGACAACCCTTTGTTCTTGGTAAGTTCCGGTTTTTTATCTTTATTTATTTAACTTTTCAGAGCATTATCTTCAAAAAAGACTTTATCTAGTCACTTGTTTCTTATGCCGATATCTAGTTCAAAACCGGACTTCCGGACGACTCCTTTTTGATGTTATTTGATATGATTGATAAATTTTCTTTTAATGTTCAAGTTCAATTCAGAACGAACTGTCTTTGATCGTTTTTCTTTTACTTTCAGTAAACCCAATGATGCGTTCTCGATGGAATTTTACTTCAACTTCGACACTATCAACTAACCAAATTTCTGATTCGTCGTAATATTTTTCAAATGAGGTTCTTTAAATAAGATTTGCTAAAGAATGATTAAGTTTTTTCTTCAATTAAACTCCGCTTCTCAAAAATAATCCTGTACAAGTCTCACAGAAATATTGTCTCAGTCAATACGTCTCTTTTCGTCTTAAATTCAACAGAATTCACTGACCATCTATTCGTCACGCTGATTCATTCCAATTCTCTGCAAAGATAAACGATACTGAATACATGAGCTATATGCCACTGTCGAAACATGCGATTGGAAAACAATGAAGGAAAATTCTTTTTGAAAGCAAAACTGATGACCTTGATTTTACTGATATCCTTTTGTTTTTAAATTATGATTGCTCTAGATTGATATGATACAAATACACGGACTGAAGAAAAGAAACGTAAAATCTTATTATATCGGAAATTATCAGAAATATATGAATACCTTTTGTAAAAGAATTTCAGCCTATCACCTTTTCGATATACATTGCAAGAGAGATCATCTTCCAATGCTACTCTGATAAACGTATTTTTTACGATTTACTTTTTCGAAATCTTCCACTCAGTATAAACAATCAAATATTCATCGCTACACAAAATTCAAAACGTTTAGCAAGAACTTTCAACCATTTACGCAGAACACGTTTGGACACATCGTCAAGCACTTAAGTTGTTTTGTATTTTTCTCATTGTGTCTAGCTGACTTCTTATTCACGTATTCATCATTCTCTCTTGCTTTATGCCAGTTGTGCACTTGATAAAATCGATTCCACTTTATTGCAAATATTTGTGCTGATAATCAAATGATGATAACAACAGTTGAAAAAAATCAATTAAAAAAATCTCTTCCAAATAAGAAAGTCAAAAAATAGGTCAAACTATATCGAATGATTGCTATACTACATGAAATATTTATTTTTAACAACCTGTCTTAGTGAAGCTTCAGTAATAACAATTCTATGTTAATATCTATAATGTTAGTTGTAACGATTCATTAGGAATCTAATCATGCGATAGTATGAGAAGCATCAATATCCTTTGTTTGAACTTCAGTCAATAGATGATGCTGTTTAGAATAAGCGTGGATGTATACTATGTTTTGATAGTTGATCTTTGCTATTACTCATTTGTATTTTAAAACTGAATGTGATTAGAAATAAATTTACAAGCTTGTTAAATATGAAACAAAATTATTTTCAACAGCACACTTATCCGAAATGACGACTATGTTTTTGCACTTCCATTCATCCTCTCTTTTGGCAAATAATATTAATTAAGCGATACAATAAATGTTTAGGTTGTCACAGAGACAAAATAGGAGTATTCTCATATTCAAAACCGTTTATAGAAGTTGTTTTTCTAGATTGATGAGAATACTAATCCGTTCACCTGAAATTCCGGAAATATCCAAAACGATCAGTAACTTTCGTATTGATACAATGTCAAAATAAAAGAAACTTGATATGACTGTGAAACTTATGAAAATAATTGTATTTTCCTCTTTGATATTATCAAGGAGAACATCAAAAGCGATTTTTCTTCTCTTTTACAAATATACGATAGATATCGCACTTGCTTAGTCGTACGTAAAAGCGTAATATCTTTAGAAACTTTTATAACAAAACAAATTAGAAGAAGCGGCAGTTAAACCCTTTCTTTTTCCCAATTCAATCCTTGCAATTGAGGATAATAATTCAAAGCACAGTTTCTCATTTTGTTTCATTTTCTGCTGTAACAGATTCACAAGCCATTTTCATCTAAAATCTAAGCAATCTTTCGTTTTTTCATTCATAATGGATGAGAAGCTCAAAATAACGTCCTTCAGTTCTCTGAAATAATAAACTTGAACAATATTCCGATATGTCTTGCCTTTTCGTTCTCTTACATTTTCTCTATCTCTTCTTATCTTTCACAGAAATATTCTGACCTAATTATTCAATTGATAGTTGTATCGTGGAAGAGTAAGACATATTCGACAAGTGAACATCATATTTTACATACATCCCATATTGGAAACTCTAGGTACATAAAGAAATTGTTTTTTTTAGTGGGAATTGTGTTGTAGTTACAAGTTACGAAGATAATGAACAGAAAATAAGAATGATAGGATAGTTTGTCTTGGATTTATTGATACTTTCAAGATCTACCTTCTTTTGTCGTCTATCCCTTTATCCACAAGTCAGACGACTACCATCTGAAAATATATATTCTTACGTTTGAATACAGGATAGCAACGTTGCAAATCTAATTCACGTGTCGGTATAGATCATGCTTGAATTTCCAGCATACCCAATCGCTTACCGGGCAGACGCAATTATGATATCGTATGAAATTCTATTAAGAAGAATCATCATTAAATATCCTTCGCTTGTAAAATCAGTACAGCCGGTTGAGTTTTTCTTGAATTCGTGAAAGTCATGTTCCTTATAAGGACATTCCTGTCATATCATCACGAAGTATTTTCTGATATGAGAAATGTTAAAAAGGATGAACAGAAAAGAATAATCGAATTATCTTGTTTTTTAATCACCTGTGAGCTAGCGGCGAACATAGCAGTATGTGTTTTCTGTTTTAGTCATCGAAGAAAAAAGAGAAGAATAGTAAAATAATCGTTATAGACTACTTGAACTATTTTTGTTAATTAGGTAACAATAATAGCATAAAAACAGACTTTTACTTGAACTAGGATACGATTTGCTAAAGTACTCAC